CAACTTGAGGGGGAGTATTAGAGTATATATTAGTATATTTTATATTCTTGTATTAATATTAATTTGTCATTTACCTTGTCCTTATAGGATTAGGTCAACCTTGTATATTTGTCTATATATATAGACTTTAATAATGAGAATACAGTACATTTGGATTCTCTCCAACCTTAGTCTCTACAATCTCAATTGTTGTGTCTTATTCTTCCATGGTTATGGCTTATTTCAGGATCTTACGACGTAGAGGACTATTGGTGGAGAGCGTGAATCCAAAGGTCTCTACACGCTTGATAAACGAATGCCTACAGTCGTCAGATGCACTAGGGTGCCATCTCCATTAGAAGAACATTGTCGTTTGAGTCACCATCTCTCTCAGTATTGAAAAGTCTTCGCCCTTAATTTCACAAATTGTTTTCTTTAGACTGTGAGTCACATCAATTTGCTAACTTTCACCATCTAAGTTTGTATCCTAGAGTCAATAAGCAAGCTAGTGTTCCATTTGAGTTAGTTCATTCCAATGTCTAGGGTCCTTGTATAGCCAAAAGTGGATTTTAGTATTTTGTTACTTTTATCAATGATCTTTCTTGCATAACTTTGTTATATTTAATGAAAATTCGTTCTAAGTTAAGTTGTTTTTTCATTTTTGTAACTTTCATGTTGAAATTTGAACTCAATTTGGTGGTTCTCTTAGAGTTTTACTTAGTGATGATGCTAAAGAATATTTCTCTAGTGTTCTTGGCTCTTATTTATACAAACATGATATTCTTCATCAATCTTCTTGTATTAACACCCCATCTCAAAATGGAGTTGCAGAACGAAAAACATATAACTCCTCAAAACAGAAAGGGCATTAATGTTTCAGATGCATATTCCAAAATATATTTGGATCAATGTTGCTTGACAACTTATTTTTTAATTAATCGCATGCCTTCACCAATCCTTAAGCGTGAGATACCTTACCATACTTTATGTTCAACTCAACCTTTGTTTTCTATTAAACCTAAAATATTTTGTTGTACTTGTTTCGTTCAGGATGTTCACCCCTAACTCACAAAATTGGACCAAGTCATTGAAATACCTTTTTCTTTTTGTTAATCATGTGTTCGAAAAGGATATCGGTGTTATTGTCCTAATCTAAATACATTTCTTGTATCTTCTGATGTTATGTTTTTTGAATGATACATCTTTCTTTTTATTATCTTTGAGCAATGGTCAGGTAAGCATCCAAAGGAAGATAATGACTTTCTTGTCTATTCTATTATCTCTTATTGTAAGGAAGTGCCCTCTAGCGATGCATCTCCTTCTATGCCTAATCCTCCTTGCCTAGCAATTGCTCAGGTTTATTCTCGATGGCAACCTCCTTCGATCACACGCCCTGTACCAACAGCTTCTATATCATTGAATCCAAGAACAAGCGATGATCTTCGTATAGCTCTTCGCAAAGGTAAAGGTCAGTGTATTCATCCTGTTTGCTCTTTTGTTTCATATAACCATTTGTCCTCTCCTACTTGTTCATTCATTGCATCCCTTGAATCTTTATCCATTCCTAAAATTATTCGTGAAGCTTTGTCTCACTCTGGTTGGCGTGCTGCAATGTTATAGGAGATGACTGCCTTAGATTACCATGGTACTTGAGATTTAGTTTCTCTTCCTGCAGGAAAGAAGTCTATCGATTGTAAATGAGTGTTTGTCATTAAAGTTAATCCTGACCAATCAGTTGTCCGATTGAAAACTTGTCTTGTTTCTAAGTGCTATGCATAGACTTATGGAGTTGACTATTATGGTACTTTTTCTCTAATTGTAAAATTGGCTTCTATCAGGTTATTCATTTCGTTGTGCCCTTGCATCTGTATATATTAAAAATGTCTTTCTACATGGTGAACTTCAAGGAGAAGTGTATATGGAGTAACCATCGAGTTTTGTTGCTCACAGGGAGAACATAAAGGTATGTCGCCTTCATAAACCCTTGTATGAATTAATCAAAGCCCAGTACATCCTCTTGAAAAATTCAGTCACGTGATTGAGAATTTTGGAATGAAGAAAAGTAAGTCAGATCATCCTGTCTTTTGTAAACTATCTCAGACTGGTGTCGTCTTACTAGTTGTATACATTGATGATACTGTTATTATTGGTAATGATACATCAAGCATCCTATCTCTCAAGACATTTTTTCATGGTTAATTTCATACAAAAGAATTAGGAATGTTAAAATGCTTCTTGGGAGTTGACGTAATAAGAAGCAAGAAGGGAATTCTTTTATCACAGAGAAAATACATAATTGATTGTCAAATGAGGTAGGAAAGTTAGGTGCTAAGCGTAGCACACCGATTATACCTAATCTAAAGCTTACAAAAGAAAGTAAATTTCTGGTAGATCCTGAAAGGAATATGAGGTTAGTAGGAAAGCTAAACTACGTTAGAGGGACTAGGCTAGATACAATTTATCCAGTGAGTATTGTGAGTCAGTAAATACCTTCTCCTAGACATTGTACATTTGTCTATATATATCCTTCCGTGAATGAAATGGATTTATTGATTCTCTCGAACTTTTAGTCTTTGCAAAAATGTGTAACTAAAAAAGAAACTAGTTTTAGACAATATATTTCTAGTTTTCAAAATCTCTTTCTATCATCTCAACACACCATCTTTCATTTAGTACATTCTCTAACTCTTTTTTCTCTAACTCCCTCCCTCAAACTTACCTTCTCTCCTGACCATGTCACTTTCTCTCCAACTTTTCTCTCTCTAACATCTCTCTAAAAATGTTTACCTTTCTATCTCCCTTTCTATCTTATCGTTTGTTTACTCCGACTAATGTCTCCTAACTTTCATGTAATTAATCTTTGTTTCTCTAACATCTCTCTTTTTGAAAAAACAAAATTCTCTCCACATTTTATTTCTCTCTCTAACATATTTCTCTTACTTTTTCTCTCTAAAATTTCTCCAATTCTATCTTTATTTCCCATATCTCTCTATTTTTCTTACTCTACTCTCTAAAATTTCTCCAACCTTTTTCCCTCTCTAACAAATATATGATCTCCCTATAACTACCCTTTCTCTCTCTCTCTCATCTAACTAATATTTCTCTCTCTGAAAATAATGAGTGGTAGATTAAATGGAAAGAACTAGATATGGAAAGAGCGTATTTGGCTGTTGGCTGTTGGCTGTTGGAAAGATTAAATGGAAACAATCCCATTTCTCATCCCTACACGAGAGGTTAAAAAATTATAAGTTGGCTGTTGGCCCCACACTGCACTCCGTCCATAAAGCCTATCTTTTCCATTTAATGACGTAATTGTCCAGCGAAACTTCCGCGAAGTTTCCTCACTTGACTTTCTTTATTCTTCCCCACCCACCCTAAACTCCTAAAATTCATCGCCCACACCCGCCCATCCACACCGTTAAATAGTTTCTTTATTCACAATTTGTTTCTAAAATATGTTTTTAATTCTTTTACCTTGCAAAGTTCAAAGAAAGGGATGAAAAAAATATCTATTTTAAACACTGGCGGGAAAAATCTTCCCCCTAAAAATGTTTCTGTCGGCTTAAAGACTCTTTCAAGTGCATCTTTCTCTGTCCAACTCTACATTTAAAACAAGTTTATGGAGAACCAATCAAAGAATATCTTACTTATTACAGCTTTTTTAAAAGTATTATTCTATTCTAGAGTAGCTTTATAAAAAAGAATATTATTCTATAAAAGGACGGCTTTCTAAGAAAAAGGTATTTTTATATTGTTTAAATATATTAAATTTAAATAAATGAATTCGTCAGAGAAGCTATATAATAATGTAGCACCATTTCACTGGCTACGATGATGATGACCGTCCAATTGAGTGGTGCCAGCTGAGGGTTAAATACTTTTTTCAAAATATTAAATTTAAATATGAGCTATATAGTTTAAATTTTTTTTTTTTAAAAAGCCGAAGCGAGCATAGCTTGACGATAATTGGCATATACTTCCAACCACAAGGTTGAACTTAACTGTAATTGACACTTGTTTGTGATCAAAAAATCATGAATTTGAATCTTGTATTCAAAATAAAATAAAAAATAAAACTTTCTATCCCTGCTCCAATTTAAGGAATCAGGGTAAAAAGAATCCCTATAATAAGATCACATCCACAATAAATAGAATTTATTTTTCGCATTTATTTTAAATTTGTTAAGAAAAATTAATTAAATATAAAATATATTAAAATTGTATGCATTTGATAAAATTTTAAAACATTATAAAAAAACAAATTAATAATCTAAATCCACTTGCTTAAATAATTAACTTTAAAAATTATTTTAATATTTTTTATTCATGGTGCGGTGGTGTAAAAGTGTCAAATTTAGTGTACCCACCCAATTAAATAATTTTCAGACAATGTTTCAAAAGAAAATAATAATTTTCAGACAAATTATGTAAATAAGATAAAATAAATATGTATTTCAATGGTATATGTTTTAGTTTGTGGCCTGACACCCGTTTTTAAACCAGGATTCCTATCTAATCTCAGACATGTATTGGACCCCACAGAAATTTTTATCTCCAATTTTTTTTTTTTTAAATAACTTTTTAATATTGATAAATTTTATATTATTTTTAAGACAACAGATACGGGAATGAAAAGAGCATTCAGAAATTTTAAGATTTTAATGGCACAATTTTCTTAACTTGGAAATTCGCAATCACCAAAAAAACTACACTCGCTAATTCATCTTTAAAGATTTTTCAAAGCAATTCCTTCAAGAAAACCCTACCCAATCTAATGCGTCAGAGAATCGAGGAAAATTTTGACTAAAAGTTTTAACAACTAATTCGAGTTTTCCCGAAATTTAGCCCTGCGTCCTTCGCAATTAAACTGTTCTACTTTTCAAGCCTTTTCTCGGCAGCCAAACAGGCGAGAAAGCGATGAGCAGAAAATGGAGAGAATCTAGTAATCTACATTACGGAGGAAGAAATAGAAGTTGAGACATAGAACAGATTCAGAAGTGAGAGGGATTAGGAAATGGAACCTGGATTTTGAGCTTCTTCTTCTCGGCCTCGGAGCGCTTGACGAGATCTGCAACGTTTCGGAACCTCCGCCGTGGATTCTTGACGACGGAGACGGCGGATCTCCACCGCCTCAAGGCTTCCTCGGAAGGATGTTTGTGCTCAACTTCGAAGTCCTTCAGAAACCTCTCCATACGATCTCTGTTCCTTCGATTTCTCGCCGGAAAGCCGTAGCCGTCGGTTTTCCGAGCAGATCAGAAGCAAAGAAGAGTCAAGAATTCGGCGATGGAAGCTTGGACGGAGAGGCTCTGGTCCAGACTCCGGGCAACAAGGAGGGAGTGAACTAAAAGAGGGAATTGGGAGAAAATCTGGAATTTGCGTGGGGCCGGGCCAATTGTAAAAACCCAGAAATTTTGGGTTTCAGAAAATTTTCTATCATAAAAGTGTTTTTATAACTTCGTTTTGATTTTACAATTTTGCCCTCCTTTCATTAAATACAAAATTTTACTCTAAAAAGAAAAACAAAACACTTCTCACTTATTCCATTATTTTCATAATCTTCTTTTCAATTTTGAAAGTGTATTTTAGGAAAGTTTAGAATTTATAACCATTTCTTAAAATAATTTAAAAATTAATTAATTAATAAAAAGTGTTAAAGAGATTAACGAGATTTGGGTTTTAAAAAGATTATGTTTCAAAATGGAAAACTTTTAATAATTTTTTAAGGTTATTTACTTTTAAAAGAAGTTAAAATATATATATATATAATCCCTATTGAGATCCATGCAATTTCAACCCGATAAAATGCAATATTAGTTGAAATGATATGAATCTTTACCTACAATAAACTCTTGACATTTTTCTTTCCGACCATCAACAACGTATTTGAAAATACAAAGAACAAAATGGCTCGGCACCAACTTTTTTTACTCCATTTATTTTTTGTTTATTTATTATAATTTTTTTAGTAAAACAATTGGGATTTGGAAATAATCGGGTTCAATTTGATCCTAAATCATTTCTTTAAAATGTAAAAGTATTTTTATAATCGCACCTTTTTTTTCTTATGCGTACATCAATATAATTTTTACTCCCGAAGGACAAATTTTTCAAATAATATAAATTAAGAAAGAAATTACAAATTTAATGTAAATTATAAAATAAAATAAAAATAATGTAAATAAAAATAATAAAAATTTGAAATAGGGTGAATTTCAAAACTATTGACAAAAGTAGGGTAGCGGAGTCAAAGTCAAAAATTTTGTACACGTTTTACACGTGGAAGGTGAGTGGACTAAATCTTCTGAACTCGTGTACATTCCAATTTTACACGTTTTACAACATACACGAGTTCACCCAATTTTTTTTTTTTTGTAAAATTTATTAACCATAATAATTTGC